TGAGTGCCGTCACCATGTACATAATATTTAAATTTGTGTGACTAGATTAGTCTACCAAGAGACTGCGTGTAAATAGAGAAGATAAATGTCTGAATTAAGTTCTGGTGTTTCATGTTGCAGGGTATAGAGTGAATCAGCATAGGAGACTGAAAGGGTAGGTTCTTCCCTATAGGACTATGTCCTTTGTTGGCATGTGAGGTCCTCCATGTACTGGTCCAGATTTACCTCCTCTCTTACCACTTCTCTTCCTAATGCTCATAGGTTTTAAACATACATCATATTCTCTCTCCTGGTTCTTACTATGTGCTTTTCCATTTGGTGAATGCTATTTCTCTTATCCTTTCCCTGATACCTGACTAACTCTATCTTTTAGGATTCACCTCAGCTATAACTTCCTTACTGGTCTGTCAGACATGGCTTAGCTTCCCGTTCTGTGGGATCCGACAGAACTGCACACACGTGCATCACACAGCTGTGCACTCTCTTCTCCTCTCGTTGCTCACAAGCACTCACTCTTGTTTTCTGTTTTTCTCTCTGGATTGGAATTGCTTGCTTACCTGTCTCCTCCAGTAGATTATGCTCTTTGAGTTTCTATATCCTTTTCATTGTTTAATGTTTAGCACAATGCTTATACTCGATGGGCATTTACATGATATTTAATAAATTTGAGAACAAATATAAATTAGCTATAATAGAAGAGCCTTATGGAGGCTCAACCTTTGGAGACAGTGAAGAAAGTTGGAATAAAGAGCAGCAGGGGTTTTGTGAAAGAGGATGTTATATTGGCACCCAAGGGATTGAGAAACAGGTCAGGAATCTAGAGTACCAATATTTCTCTGGTAGCAGCAAGAAATTTCTAGGTATAATGGCTTGATTAAATTATTTTCTGTCTATTGAAAAGCTGTCCGGCAGACATACAGTGTTTTACCAAACTAGTGAAAACAAGTACAGTGGGTTTATTTTGAATGTTTTTTTGCATGAGATTTTCTTGATACTTGAGTCCCTATTTATTTTTTGACAAACTACCCCAATCTGTCAAGTGTTTTGGTGCTTCAGCTTTCATAAAGGTGCAAAGAAAGGGACAGCTTCAAGTCAAAGGTCTTCATATGAGTACAAACCTTCCTAAGAGGCATGGAATTGTTATTAAACTTCAGAGAAGTACAACTGGTCTGTAGAAGGGTGGATACAGATTTAAAAGCCAAAAATTTTTAAGGAATTTAAGGAGTGGAACCTAAAAAGGTGTTAGGTAGAAATAAGGTTTTGCTGTTTATAAGTGTATTAAATAAAAATATGGGGGTTGAGTCATATCTTAAAATAGTTTTAGAATTTTGCTGAATGTTAAAAGCATTGTTTTCTGTAGCATGAAGATAAATATGTATAAGGGGAGACAAATATAACTTTTTCTACATGAAATGTCATAACTGATTTTCAGCATGGCACAGTTGAGCTACATTTCAAATGGGAAGCCACATTGAAACTGTGTTCAAAAGAAAAAGCTAAAGCTGAAAAGTATTTTGAATTATTCTGAGTATTGTCTCTGAGTAGCATTAATTTTTAAAGTGTTTTGAAATCCAACTAAAGTTCAGTTTAGAAATATAATTTATATTTTTTACTCTCTCCAGATAAAACTTTAAGCATATGTTTCTAATAATTCAGTTAAAATATGCTGAGTTGCATATTTTTAAAGAGAATCTGTTTTGAAAAGACTCCAAAATATGTGTTTGAACAGGCACTCAGCATCTCGATGAAAACTGTTGGAAAAGAAAAACCTTCAGAATCTTTCTGCTCTCAGAGTACGCAAGCCAACTAAACTGGTACAGTTAACACTTCTGTAAGAGGCCAGGAGCCAAGAAATATAGCACTTCCTGGACTGCTTTTCGGCAGGCCTTCAAACCAACTTAGTGGTTGATATTATTACCATTGAATTTTCAGAGCAAAAAGCTGCAAGTAGAACATATACATCCCTTTCTGTCAATATCATACTAGTCTCTTTTAGTAATCCAAATAGCCTCAATCTCTGCTTTATATAGTCATGAAAGCTGTAGTTCCTTCCTGAGTTTTATGGGCTATCATTCTTGCAAAACAAGAAGGGAATGAATGCCCTGTAGAGTCCGACCCCAAGTATGATTAAACTGTCTCCCAGACACAAATATTTTTAAGTTGTTTTTAGTACTACTGAGTGTCACAGTAGTTGTGTAAGTTATATAGAGCACCATAATGTTTTCAAAGGATTAGTTAGTTATCTCAGACCACCAACTTTACAAGGAGAGATAGTTTATTCAACCTCTTGACTCTCATTTTCATTGTGTCCCATTGAGATTTATTGATACCACTTAGTTGAGTTAGCAATTATGGGCTCAGTGTGTATATAATATGTCATGTTGATTTCTGTATTCAAATATTTGCTCTAGTCAGTGCTCTACTTAGACATTTACTGGATTGAGCTAGAAAGTACCCTCCATACTTAGGTGCTATAGTAATTGTTATTAAACTTCAGAGAAGTACAACTGGTCTGTAGAAGGGTGGATACAGATTTAAAAGCCAAAAATTTTTAAGGAATTTAAGGAGTGGAACCTAAAAAGGTGTTAGGTAGAAATAAGGTTTTGCTGTTTATAAGTGTATTAAATAAAAATATGGGGGTTGAGTCATATCTTAAAATAGTTTTAGAATTTTGCTGAATGTTAAAAGCATTGTTTTCTGTAGCATGAAGATAAATATGTATAAGGGGAGACAAATATAACTTTTTCTACATGAAATGTCATAACTGATTTTCAGCATGGCACAGTTGAGCTACATTTCAAATGGGAAGCCACATTGAAACTGTGTTCAAAAGAAAAAGCTAAAGCTGAAAAGTATTTTGAATTATTCTGAGTATTGTCTCTGAGTAGCATTAATTTTTAAAGTGTTTTGAAATCCAACTAAAGTTCAGTTTAGAAATATAATTTATATTTTTTACTCTCTCCAGATAAAACTTTAAGCATATGTTTCTAATAATTCAGTTAAAATATGCTGAGTTGCATATTTTTAAAGAGAATCTGTTTTGAAAAGACTCCAAAATATGTGTTTGAACAGGCACTCAGCATCTCGATGAAAACTGTTGGAAAAGAAAAACCTTCAGAATCTTTCTGCTCTCAGAGTACGCAAGCCAACTAAACTGGTACAGTTAACACTTCTGTAAGAGGCCAGGAGCCAAGAAATATAGCACTTCCTGGACTGCTTTTCGGCAGGCCTTCAAACCAACTTAGTGGTTGATATTATTACCATTGAATTTTCAGAGCAAAAAGCTGCAAGTAGAACATATACATCCCTTTCTGTCAATATCATACTAGTCTCTTTTAGTAATCCAAATAGCCTCAATCTCTGCTTTATATAGTCATGAAAGCTGTAGTTCCTTCCTGAGTTTTATGGGCTATCATTCTTGCAAAACAAGAAGGGAATGAATGCCCTGTAGAGTCCGACCCCAAGTATGATTAAACTGTCTCCCAGACACAAATATTTTTAAGTTGTTTTTAGTACTACTGAGTGTCACAGTAGTTGTGTAAGTTATATAGAGCACCATAATGTTTTCAAAGGATTAGTTAGTTATCTCAGACCACCAACTTTACAAGGAGAGATAGTTTATTCAACCTCTTGACTCTCATTTTCATTGTGTCCCATTGAGATTTATTGATACCACTTAGTTGAGTTAGCAATTATGGGCTCAGTGTGTATATAATATGTCATGTTGATTTCTGTATTCAAATATTTGCTCTAGTCAGTGCTCTACTTAGACATTTACTGGATTGAGCTAGAAAGTACCCTCCATACTTAGGTGCTATAGTGGAGAGTACATAAGAGAAAAATTAAAAGATTATGTTTACTAGAGACAAGACTAAATTCAACATCTATACTATATATACTTTAACATCACTGAGTTAGTTGGTGCAGGAGCAGAAATTAAAAATACAATCACTTGGTTTTTCAGGTGCTTCCCACAAGATTAGATTAACTGTCTCCAGAAATGATTACCATACTTTGATTTAGACTTCTAAGTTTCTTTCAGAACTGTAAGTGTAGAGGGAGTTATGTGGAACCAATGATAAATGTCCTGGGTGGTTTTTTTTCCCCCTTCATTATTTGGATCTGTGCATAATCTGAAATAAATTATATACAGTTTGGGGCATAGTGTCGTTTGTGACTTCAGAGGATCTGAGAATCAGCAGAGGAATGCAGTCCTTCCATGCAGCTCTGCCCGTCTTTCCATTTTGGTTAGTGTATTACTGGAAGTTTATAAGGCAAATACAAGGAGTTTCAGTAAGGAACTAAAGGAGTTAATGACTGAAATGATTGAGAAGCAGAATCTGCAGTTGATTGGGATGTAATTACGAGAAAGAAGCGTACACATAAATAATACCATAATAGGTTATGTTACTGACATTCAGGAAAAGTAGAATGAGGCAAAATCTCTCTCGTGTCTTGATGTTCCATTTGATAATACTTCAGATAAGTTTCACAAGGGAGATGGTTGAGATTACTAATCTTTAGTTCATGAACCAAGAAATAAGAATTTTCTCATAGGAAATAACTTTTGCCCATAAAGGAGTAGTAGAGACTCCTTAGTAGAGGAACATTTTTATCTGTAATTTCTCTGATTTAGTGCCAAAAGTTCTTTGAAAGAATATTCAAAGCTGTATCTAAGTTTCATTGTTGAAAAGTGACAGCTGCTATATTTCTTTTTAATAACTGATTGAACTTCTTTCTGTTATGTCTCTTCTACCACTAAATTCCTTCACATTAAAAAAGCATTTTTAAAGTAATGGTATTATGAGACAAAAGCTTTATTCTGTGGATGGATAATACTTCTTTTGTGACATTTTCTTTTCCCACCGAAAGTGAGAAGTAAATGCCTTGCGTTGGTACATCCCATTTCTAATGGAGGACAAGAAGTTATTTTCTTCAGTGGCTGACTTCCAGAATTTCTGGCTGAACATTCTTTGTCAAGTGTGTATTCCCTTCTCTAGGCCTTTCTATATAGAGCCCACAAACATCGTTAATGTGAATGATGTCATTCAGAGAGTTAGTGACCACGCCTCGGCCATGAACAAGAGGATTCATTACTACAGCCGGCTCTCCACTCCTGCAGACAAGGCCCTGGTAAGGGGAAAAGCATTGCTAAATTGTCTAAGGTTAAGTTGGACAGTGAACAGCATTAAGCCAGGGCAACTCCCAGTAGTTGAACTCTTTGCTGGCCAGATTCCAAGGACAGCATCATGGAAAGTCAAGATAGTAATTAATACATGTCCTGCATCTCAGTCTAGTTCATTCTTATTTAGCCTGGCATACAGAGAGACTTGCTGGATTAAATTCTGCTAATATCCAATCTTAAGAGCTCTAAGGAGGAGAAACTACTTTTGGAGTAGTTTAGGTCATTGATAACATAAATAATAACAGGTTCTAGTTAATCTGTTCAGTTTTTAAGTTTGAAACTACAAGGGGAAAATGTTTTTAGAAGTTTTCTACAGGAGTAGAAAACTGAAATACATACATACATATGTAATATTTTCCTATTTAGCAATGTCCTTTTGTAGACCAAAGCAAAGGTTAAAGAGCAGATACTAAATATTTTAGGCTTTGTAAGCCACATACTGTTTCATATACTTAATTTTTTTTATAATCATTAAAAAATAATACAGACCATTCTTAGCAGAGGGGATGTAAAAAATCACGTTGTAGGTCAGATTTGGCCCATAGACCATAGTCTGACTTGATCTTCTGAAATGTGTATTGTTATCTTAGGATCAAAAATATATATTTTAAGTAATTTAGTTGCTTTATAAGAAGTGCCACATATGATGTATTCAGAAACTTGAAAGCTTGAATAAAAATGGAAATACCCTAGGAGAAAAAAATGATTTTGTTATAGGTAATAATAAAAAGGGAAAGGGGAACCAACATTCTTTAGATGTTTACCAAGGGGCAAGGATTGGGCTGCTCACTTGAACACAGATATATTATTTTAAGCCATGTAAAATGTTAAATTTCCTTTTGTACAGCCAAAGCAGGGATTTCTGAAATGTTCTGGGTGGGATGACTTTTTTCTCCATTTTTTAACTTTTTCCTCCCCTAGGCCTTTATATCAGTAGTTGTGGTAAAGTCTTACTTCCATAACAGAATTGTGTAAGCCCTCTGGGGAGCAGAAGTAAGCCAGTATCTCCGAGTCTAGTTTAGACCTCAGAGACACTCTTCTCATAGTGGTAATTACATTCACCATATTATCAAGTCCCCCCCACACCCCATTGCAGTCACTCCCCATCAGTGTAGTAAGATGCCACAGAGTCACTACTTGTCTTCTCTGTGCTACACTGCCTTCCCCATGACCCTCCCCCATTACCATGTACTAATCATAATGCCCCTCAATCCCCTTCTCCCTTTCTCCCCATTCACCCTCCCCTACCCCTCTCCTTTGGTAACCGCTAGTGCCTTCTTGGTGACTCCTCAATTTTTTATAGTTTGGGTTCCCTATCTACCTCTTTGCTAAAACCACCATCACATAGGATTTCAGTGACTACTTGAGTCTTTAAATTCCCTAGGCCCAAGTCTCCTCCATCTAGAATTCCTTAACCCAGTCTTTGCTGGGTCTTCCTCCTTTCTCATAAAAAACAAGGAAAAAATATTTTGACAGTTGCATATTCTAGGAGTTCAGTCTCATTTCAAATGAACAGTTTATTGTTTATAGTTTTTAATTAAACTGCTTTAGATTTTCTACATTTGAAAAATAATTTTTATATTCATAAATCAGGGGTGGATACTGTTTATTTGCTCATGATATTTAGAAATGTGTCTAGGGCCAGGTATTCTGATGTGTAGAAAATATCCTGTTCTGTACATTTACTAGTTCAAACATTTCTCTTTCTGTTTTTTGTCAGATTGCCCCAGATCATGTAGTTCCAGCTCCAGATGAGTGCTATGTGTATAGTCCATTGGGTTCTGCTTATAAACTTAAAAGTTACAGTGAAGGATATGGTAAAAATACCAGCTTAGTAACCATGTGAGTAAAACTATTTTCTGGAACATAACTTAAACTATCTGTACATAAAAAAGTACTGATTATTTTAATTTTTGTCTTAATTAAATATTTGACAAGTCAAACTCTATATTTCTACTGCTATTACTCTCTGTGTTTTCAGTTTTATGATTTGGAATACCATGATGGGAACATCTATACTAAGTATTCCTTGGGGCATAAAACAGGTAATACAATTTTTCAGTGCATTTCTCGCCTGAATTTTTTTCTCTTTATAAGTTTTACAGTGGAAGTATTAATAAATCTATTTAAATTCATTCAAGTAAATAGATGATTATATTACACTTTACATTAGTTGTCAGGTTTAGGATAACACAATAGGTTGCATATGAATTTATCCTAACACAATGATATATGCTCTTCTTTATTTTTATTTTTGAACAGGCTGGATTTACAACTGGAATATGTGTCATCATGCTGATGGGCTTTTTAACACTTTATTGTTGCTTCAGAGTAGTGAAATCACGAGCTATGATATGTAAGCATTTACCACAGTGAACATAAATTCTTGATGTGGGTATTAATAAGTATTTCCTGTTGAGGTAGATCACTAGTGTGTACATGCCCCATGTGTGTTAACTATTTTGTGCCTAGGAATTTACTTCTCTACTTCATAGCATTTATAGCTGACTGATAATATTCATGAATTAGTGGCTACCTTTGAAATTCAGAGAGGCTGGAAGTTCTTTGCAGAATTCATTCACTTTGGTGCTAATTTCCTCACAACAATAATTTTAAAAGTCATATTTTTAAAATAAGGTCTTTCAGTGACTGCAGTGGGGTGTGTGTGAGGGGACTTGATAATATGGGTGAATGTTGTAACCACAATGTTGCCCATGTGAAACCTTCATAAGATTGTATATCAATGATACCTTAATAAAAACAAAATAAAATAAGGTCTTTGCTAGAACTAACTTAACAATTCTCTGGTTCTTATCTGATTCTTAATGGCAACTTGTTTTGACCTATCTCTACCAAAAGATCTAAATGTTATAATCCCTTAAAAGTAGAAATTGCCGCTAAAAAAATACAAAAATGTGAGAAATGTGAGTATTGTGTCCTTTGTAGTGAATTCTCATAATTATACCAAAACATTACTTCCACTCATCTGTATAAATTCCGGATCAGGGAAATACCTTTTTACATTGTTTTAAAGTAGTTTAGAACTTTTAAATAGAGATACATTATTTCACTGAATCTTAGCAAGTATGAATCAACAGACAAGGCTTTGTTTGCCTCCATTTATTTTCTGTGTCTGCTAAACAAGGGTGTATTTTTTCCTGGTCATATTATTTATTCATCCCTTTCTCATTTTTCCACGAGTCCCTTGGTGCTCTTATAGGTCTGCTAAATTCCTTATATCATGTAGACATTAGCCCTTTATCTGTTATTTCTTGTCAATTTTTTTCCCATTCAGTATTTGAATGGCTTTTGTATTATATTTGTTTATATCTGCCTATCTTTTCTATTGTAATTTCTGTTTCTTCAATTGATAGAAAAAGATGACCTTTCAGGTGTTATTTTTACATTGTCTTCTAATGTTCCTGTAATTTTTAAATTCTTAGCTCAATTGTCTGAAATTAAGTTGGCATGGGGTATAAAGCATGACTCAAGAAAACTTTCTTCCATGTTGTTATTTGTATGCCAAATATTTGATATCTTTGTTCCCTTACTGATGATTTTGTTTAAACTTATAGACACTTGCTTTTATTAATCATGAAATTTTATGACACCATAATCTGTTTCTCAGGTTATCTATGCTAATTCATAGACTTACTTTTTAAAAATATGTTTGTTCTGTTTTAATTTGTTATTTCATAATATAGTATAATATCTGATGGTGAAAATACCCATAATCTTCTTACTAAATATTTTAAGTTAATTTGAAGAACACAAATTGTAAATATGGAATATATAATTAACATCTAATTTTATACTTTCTCTTTTGTTTTGGTCCAGCATCAGTAGATACCACTACCTGGGAATATTCAGATGTCTGCAAATACTATTTTGGTTCCTTTGGGCAGTGGTCAAGCCTCCTTTTCTCCTTGGTGTCTCTCATTGGAGCAATGATAGTTTATTGGGTGCTTATGTCTAACTTTCTTTTTAATACTGGAAAGTTTATTTTTAGTAAGTATCGATACCACATGCTTCAACACAGTTGCTTTCAGATACAATAACTGCTATAATGCTTTAGCTTCAGCCTTTAAGTTCTAGACTGGGGATAAGTGAAGTAAAAAGTAATACCTGCAATTCTGGAAAATATACTTGATTCAGTTTGTTTTCTGTTGTTATGACCTCAAATATGTTGTGTATGTTCATTTCCAAAAACTTAATGTTTAGTAAATAATACTCCTTCAAATTCTCTAATTGATATAAAATATTTCTAAGTTCCAGCAGATGTTTTAAGTGTTATTTCAATCTTTACCACAAAATTTTAGTGTAACAGAGAAGTTTGATGTTCGTTGGTGTTTATTGCTAAAGAATTGATGTGAAGAGTCTCAAAGAAATAAATTTCAAAAACTTATTTTCAAATATCAGGATTGGAAATTAGGAAATAGTAGAATAATGGAATTTTTGTTGTAAATATATTATTACCATACCACAGAATTGTAATTTGCCCTAATTGGCACTTTAATTCTAAAGGGAGACTTAGAAATTCAGACCAAAAACATTTTACAATATTTTTAATTAGATAAAGTTCATTCTATATGTAATAAGTTTCCAAAATTTTTTGACTGATGACTGGTAGATCTATGTTTACTATAGGTTTAGCTGGCCTTAAATAAACCCTATATACTTAAAATCTAGATTTACATGAGAACTAAACTTCAAAATAAATTCTGATATAATTACAACAGCTGATTTCCCTAAGAGCTTTTGAGGGGGAAGTGAGTGAGATGGATAAATTCTACTTTTATTTTAAACAATAAAATTAACATTTTAATTGCTTTATTACCAGATATTTTTATTGTGTGAAAAGTTATGAAATATTTGAAACTAAAAAAAAAAATGTAGAGGCTAATGTAAATACCAGGGTACCCACAATTAGTTTTCATGGCTTAGTATTTTGCCATATTTACATTAGTTCTTTATTCTTATAGATATAATTGAAGCCCCAGGTGTATTCCTCCTCAACTTCATTTTCCTTCTTTCCTGAATTTGTTACAAAATTTGGTACATGCACATTTTGTCCTTTTCCTATACAGGTGTATAAGTATTCTTTTGCATGTTTTTAGTCTGTATGAATGCTTTTTCAGCTTGCTTTTTGTCTGTCATCTTCTGCATTAATACAGAGTTCTACTTTATTTTAACTACTCTATTCCATCATATGAATGTACCATTAAGTCTTTATCCATTCTCTTCTTAGTGGACATTTCATTTGTTTTCAGTTACTTTGCTATTACAAACAAGGCTTTATTAAACATCCTTGTCTGTTTCCTGTGCATGTGGGAGAGTTTCTTCAAACTATATACCTGTAAGAGAAATTTCAAGATCTTAGCATATTCAAATTTTTACCTTTACTAAAAGTTACCGAAATTTTTCTGTATTATTCTTGTATGAGTTACACTCCTGCCAACAGTTTATGAGAGTTCCCCTTGTGTCACATCCTTACCCACATTTGCTTTTATCAGACTTAAATTTTTTTATTATAGGTTAAGGTACTTAAAATAAAACGCACAAATTTTACTGTACAGCTCAATGAATTTTGACATGTGTATACACTTATAAAACCATCATCCAAATCAGGATATCTAACATGCTCACTAATTTTTTTTTTCCCTTTCACCTATTTCATCCATCTCCCCACTCCCATCCTCCATGGCAACCACCAATCTGTTGTCTGCGTCTGTGAGCCTATTTCAGGATTTAATGTTTGTTGTTTGTTTTGTTTTTTGATTCCAAAGTAAAGTGAAATCATATTGTCTATTTGTCATTGTCTAACTTACTTCATTTAGCATAGTACTCTTTAGGGCCATTTATGTTGCTGCAAATGGCAAGGTTTCATTCTTTTTATGGTCAAGTAATATTCCATTGTATGTACATACTATATCTTTCTGATCCAGTCATTTAAGGACATTAATGTTGCTTCTGTGTTTTGGCTATTGTAAATAATTCTGTGACAAACATATGAGTGGAAATATCATTTCAATTTACCAATTTTGTTTTCTTTGGGTAAATTCCCAGAAATGGAATTGCTAAGTTGTATGGTATTTCTATTTTTAGTTTTTTGAGGAACCTCCATACTGCTTTCACAGTGGTTGCACCAATTTACATTCCCACTGGCAGGATAGGAGGGTATCCTTTTTTCTACATCCTCCCCAACACTTGTTATTTCTTGTCTTTTGGATAGTGGCCATTCTAACTTGTACCAGGTGATATCTCATTGTGGTTTTGATTTACATTTCCCTGATGATCAGCAATGTGGATGGAAGGGGTTGTTTTGAATAAAAGTCCATGGAAGAAAAGAGAATTGTGTGTATATATATATATATATACACATACACACATATATAAAATAATAGTTAATTGGAGTGGGGAGTGTGGGTATAAGCATAGATCATGTATATGATACTGATCCCAAAGGGGAAAATTAGTTCCTAGGGGGAGAAAAAGTATTCTTTTTATATATAAAACAGATACATATACAGTTCATAAATATACAGTATATCTGTGGTTTTAAAATTTCATGGGATGGGAGATTAGGGGAAAAAAGTCTAAAAAGGCTCCTTAAGGGGTTAATGAAGAAAAAAAGGGTTGGTAAGCAGTGGTATAATTGATTCAAGAATGGCAGAATGTTAGTAGTTGTTGAATCTAGCTGAGGGGTACAAGAAAGTTCTATACATTGTTTGATCTGTATGTTTGAAATTTTCTATAATAAAAAGTGTGCTACTGTATTAAATTAAAGCTACATTTACCAAAAGAAAAAATTTAGGGTACTGAAATTAAGCCTTAAAAGAATATATTCAAGACCCTTATCAAGAAAAACTTAAATGATATTTAAAAAGACCTAAATAAATTGAGGACTATGCCGTGCTTTGTGGATAGGAAGACTTAGTGTTATAATAATGTCAATTCTCTCCACATCTATAAATCCCATACAATTCCAGTCAAATTCTAAACTCAGTACCCTGGTAACATCAGTTATGGTACTGGTTGAAACAATGTAGTACATTGACTAATAAGGTAAATGCATAAAAATTTGTGTATCATAAAATTTTTTTGTGAAATTTTACAAGTTAATACTAACATATGTGAAAAAAAACACAATGGAAAAGATAGAATAACTTGAAAGTAAAATAAAACCTTCTGAATAGTGCCACCATATGTAAAGTGAACACAATCCACTAACTACAAGATATTTTCAGCACAATGAAAATATATCTATATGTATACACAAACACAATTCTTTTTACATAGAATTTACACTCATTAAAATACATGAATCTTAGCCATACAATTTTGACAAATGGATATATCCATGTAATCCACATTCCATTCATGAAATATTTCTATTTTCCCAGAAAGTAGTGATATATTTTAATTATAAAATTTCAAATTATTTATTGCTGTTATAAAAGGACTTAATTTTTTGAATTAATTTTGAATCTAGCAAACATGTTGAACTCTTTGTTTCTAATTTTGTAGATTCACTTTGGATTTTCTATTTAGATAGTTACATTGTCCATGAATAATGAAAACTTCCTATCTAATTATTATTTTTAAGTAATTTGTATGTATATATATATGTATAATACACATGTATATATACACAGACATACATACATATGTTTATACACATGTATAGACATGTGTATCCTTTTAGATAAACTTGTAAAGTTGAATAGATGCAGTGCTGGTAGACATTCTTATATTGTTTCTGAGGAAATCTCTCTAGTTTCATCATTAAATATTATTTTTGTTGTGGGATATTGGTTGTACCCTTTAGTAACTTAAAGGTGTTCCTGCTTACTGTTTTTATGAGCTTTTGTTATTAGTGTGTGCTGGATTTTATCAAATACTTTATCTACCTCTTGAGATGATTATAAAGCTTTTTTCCTTTAAGTTCTTAATATGGTAAACTAAATACATTTGGTAATAGGTCATTGTTAAATTCTGAGATAAATTAGCTTATTAGTTGTGATGTGTATTTTCAAATTTCTTACTGGATTCAGTTTACTTTTGGGAAGAGTGTGGCTAATATTTTATTTAGAACTTTTCATGTTTTAATAAGAGATGTTACCTTATAGTTTTTCTTTCTCAGACTGTCCATGTTGAGCCTTGGTGTATTAGAGCTGCCATAACAAATTATCATGAACTGTTTGACTTAAAACAAGAGGAATTTCTTCTCTCACAGTCCTAAAGAGCAGAAGTCCAAAATCAAAGTGTCAGTAGGGCTCGGTTCCCTTTGAAGGCTTTAGGGAAGAACCTTTCCTTGCCTTTTCCTGCCTTCTGGTGATTCAGTGTGCTTGGCATTCTTTGGCCTGTAGCTGCATCACTCCATCTCACTTCTCTGTTCACATGGCCATCTCTCCTCAGTGTATCTGTGTCCAAATTTCCCTTTTACTAAGGACACCAGTCATTGAATTTAGGGCCTACCTAATCCAGTTTGACCTCATCTTAACTTGATTATGCCAGCAAAGATCCTATTTCCAAATAAGGTCACTTTCTAAGGTTCCTGTGGGTATGGATTTGAGGAGACACTGTTCAACCCAATATATTTTGTATCAAAATTTTACTAATCTTATGTAAATCTTAGGCATCAGTGACTAACATAAAGATTCCTAACTCCCAGTCTTAACACCTGGGACACTAAATTACTTCTTTTATTTTATCTTGAGAAACATACATGCAATGGAGGTGAATAATTCACATGCTTAATTTATTTTAACCTTAAAAGCTGATCAACATATTATATCATATCCTTTAAGTTTCACATCAAACACTTTTATTAATGCTTACTAAGATTTTAAAAGGTTAACATCTAAAAGAATAAAACAGATTCCCTCAGGCTAGCAAGAAAACACATTCTCTACCCATCCTGTCATTCACTGTAGAATGATATGAATGCTTAGATATCTACATATACTTTTTACTTGGCTACTTCCTTTAGTGTAACTTAGTGGTACCTGTGAGCAATAATTACTCTATAGTCTTCCATCTATAAAATCATGTACTCTGTCAAAACTTTGTGATTTTCCAGTTAAGTTTGGCTATTAGGAGTGTTGGTTTTCTCATTCTTCAGACTTTAGAACTTTACTCTGTATAATATGGAACTAATATAAATTAATGTGAGTATAGGGGAAAAAATTTTACACATTATTCTGGGGGTTTAACTAACTTCAGCTTTTGGGTAGATTTTTTTTAATCCTCATTCCTATATAATTTTTCCACAGTGGGCTGGTGAAGCCAGTGACCTTAGTCCTGTAAGTAAAGCTAGAAGGTGAAGCTATATTAACAGTGATGCTGTCTTGGTTAAGTGTACTAGATAATTGATCACCCTATAAAGCCTTTTATCTATAAAAGTCTCTTCAGAACACAGTAGATCTGAAGAGACTTTTATAGATAAAAGGCTTTATAGGGTGATCAATTAGCATCTTTTATTCAGTGTTAAACTATGTTTTTTCCTTAATTTTTAGATTTTATCCATCAGATTAATGACACCGACACTATACTGAGTACCAATGATAGCAACCCAGGTAAGTAGTTTGGAATTTAAAGTTAGCTTCTTTCTTTATTCCCTACCTTGCTTTGAAAGGATTTAAGTTAGAACCTCTGACTTTATTTTAGGTGAATGATTAATGCAAAATCATCATCTTTATGTTAAGTAAGCCAATTGCTAATTGTTGGCAATCAGTGTGTTTAAAAAAAAAAGCCCACAAAAGGTTGTGTTAATGTGAGGTAAACAATATTTAGTTGATATTATGCAACTCACAGTTACAGCTTACATTTTTAGCAAATATATGTACCTATGAATAATGAATACATATTTTCAAGAACATGTATCACTGCCAATTGTTTTGGAAGTCTAGAAGCATAGTTCTCAGTTTGTTAACTTTGTTTTAGATATTTATTGTTTAGTTCCTAATATTAAGATACACAAATCTGTATCCTAATAATGAACAGAGATTAGTAAATATGAAAAAATTAATTGAAGGTTTAGCAAAAAAAACTTAACTTCTTATTAAACTTTCCTTTATTAATTTATTTATTAAAAATAAACCTTTGTGGCCTTTGGTTTTATCCAGTATGGCAATCACAGGGAAAATGAATGTAAAAACTAATGTAACCTTTTTAACAGTTATGTGGTTAACCTTGATTATCACCTCAAGCTTTAATGTATTTAAGTTTCAGAGATACTAAATTGATATCATTTTGATGGACGTACACTTTGATCACCAAAAGAACGATTCATTCAATATATATTTAAGCCTGTTAAGGACTGTTCTAGGCTCTGGGAATAAAATGAACAGACAGAAGTCTGCCCTGTCTTGAAGCATTTAGTGTCTTTCTTTGCTCCTTATTAAACTGATTGACATGTCTTTTTTTAGTAATAGAAAATGAGTGCTCCGTATTAAACTGATTAACGTGCCTTTTGTTAGTAATAGGAAATGAGTGAGTGAAGTGCCAGCTTTTATGTCTGTGAACACACATACACCTTTGAATAATTACATTAAAATATCTAATATAATTTTAAAATAAATCTTTTGTACCCTATCCCTTACCTCAGAATTTTGAAAGACCCAAATACCATCCTTTCTTAAAAGAGAAATTCATTTTACTATAGATAGCTGTTCTGGTACTAATTCATGAAACTAGTTTATTAATATCTATTGGGATTTCTTCAGTAGGGAATTAGTTTGTTGTTGAGTTCACAAATACCACAGTTACACTGATAATTTGGAGAAAACCCTATCAGCAAAGTAGTTTACTTTTTGTAGTGGTATCTTATGTTGATACTAGTACTTCTTGATTCTTCTATTTATTATGAACAATATGAAATAGTAGAGTATGAAAACAAACCATCTCAATTAGTGTAAAAAATTATAGATATTTATTGTATACTTACTCTGTCCAGGCATTATTCTGAATGTTTTATAGCAACTGTTATTAGGAAGATACTTTTAGATCCACTTTCTTGATACAAAAACCAAATCCAGAGAAGTTAGTGACATGCCCCAAGTTATCTCTTAAGTGACAGAGTCAGGTTCATTATCCAGTCAATTCACTGCCATAGCCTGTACTCTTTACCACTCTAATCATTAGCATAAGAAAGATTCAAGTTAATTCACTTCTGTCCAGAGCATTGAAGAAAAAAGTACATGTTAAAATGCTGACTAAGAAAGAAGGAGGAAGAAAACTGCCTTTGTGGCATGCCAAATAATGAACAGAGAATAAAATTGAAAACAGAACTTAACAAATGAATATATCACTTTCTCTTTGACTAGTGCTGAGTATGATTGTTGCTCAGTATGACTATTTTTCACCAGCATTGATTTCTTTGCAAAGAGCTGATTGTTAGCAAAAGTACTGTTAAGAAATTAGAAACACAGTAGGGATGATCTGTAGTCTGTCTACTAACAGAAGAAATTGCTCCTCGTATATCTGTTTTAGGAAAAACACATTTTACTTATTTCCTTGTTCTCTGTATATCATCTGGGCTCTCTTAAGCTGCTAGAAAGTATGATAAACTTCCAAGAGAATTACTCCAGATTTTTGGAATTCAAGATTCTTAAGCTATAAACAATGATTAGGTTTTGCAGTAACATAGCAACTAATTCAATGATATCCACTTTTTTTTGATTGTTAGAAGATTACTGTTTATTGGTGTTTGTATGGATTATTATCACAACAGTTACCCTGAGTGATATATTTTATATTATTGTATAAATAAGATCAAATACCATTCAGCCCAATATTTTTTTCTCTGGAATGGAACCAAAGTATAGTTGGTGAGATAATTTTATAGTTTCCAGTAGAAATTAAGGGTAAACCTCAAAAGTTTCTTAAGAATTCCCCACCTTTAATTATTTGTAAGTAAAAGATTCCTGCCATATCTAAATATAACCCTTTGTTTTTTCCCAGAAAGGAGAAAGTAAGAACTCATGGTAGAAGCTGAGGTTGATACCTGTCAGGCTCTAGGGACAGTTGTGGTCTGTTCCTTTGGCCTCTTAACTAATGCTTTCCTATTGCAGTCATTTGTCCAAGTGCCGGGGCTGGCGGCCATCCTGACAATGGCTCTGTGATTTTCTCCACCAATAACACGGGACTCCAACAGTTTGAAAAGTGGTGGAGTAAGTCCAACACGGTGCCCTTGTACCTCATAGTGCTCCTCCTGCCCCTGCTCAATTTCAGATCTCCTTCATTTTTTTCAAAATTTAATGTCCTAGGTAAGTCACACTATGTTACAGAGCCTCTGTGTAGTAGAATATATGCTGGATTCTGTGGAAATACGGTCTGACAGGAGAGTTGCCTTTCAGGCCTGTTCATCTATGTTTAATTTGTTCACTTGTATGTTACTCTGATTTTTTTGTGCTCTTTATGGAGTTTGGCACAGAGAAAAATGTAGATGACCATTTCAAGTCCAAGTCCCCCCTTTTTTAAAGATGAATTATGGCTTTCCTATTTTGTCTGTTCCTCATTTCCTCTAAGGGTACAACTAGAAGAAATAGACTAAGATTTCAGGAGGGGAAATCAAAGTGAGTTTTATAGGAATTCTCAGTTCTAAGATGTGGAAACATTAGAACTGACTGAGGGAGGGAATGGAATATTTTTCCTATGGTTTCTATTTAAGAGTATATAGCACAGAATTATCACCTGATTTTGAACCTGGGATGTCATTCTCTAGCTCAAGTTCCTTAGCTTTATTCTCCTTTTTATTTCTCTCAAGACTTTTTCTTTCCTGGAACACTATTGCCTCCTTAAAAGAACAGACTTCTTTCTGTGAGCCCCATTTTTCAGAAGTTTCTGAAATCACTGAAGAAATTTCAGGAATTTCTGAATTATTAAAGGGGTGTTTTGATCCTGTCTTCTTCTATAACACCATGTCTAAGATAGCAAAAGGAACCCCCAGTGAAAGCTCAGATCAGTTTAACTGAAGACAAGGATATCGTGCAGAAAGAATTGATAACCCCAAATACACCTTAGGATTTCTCCTCTTCCCTGCAGACCTGATCTGGTAGGCAGCATAGAGTGTAAAATAATTAGATTACTCATCACATCAGGGATAAGGCTTTTAGGTTTATAGAAGACAAAAAGAGAAGGTAAGGGTAATTCTCCATACTTCTCTGCCTCACAACAGGATTTACTCCTAAGACTGCCACAGACACACAGAATATCAAGAGTTGTGGTTATATAAGCTTTGGCCTCTTGTTTTCATTCTTTTTGAATGAGCTCATCTCCAAACCCACAGTACAGCTTATATAGCTCATTTGTGGTTTCCTGATTTGCTTGCCGACTTTCCTACGGAACAGATCTTTAAAATTATGCATATAAACTTATAGAAAAATTTGCTCAATTGGGCAGAACAATCACCAGATTTCTAACCAGATTATTCTCCTCCTCCTTAAGGATATTCTGCTTTTGATTTTTTTCAGGTACTTTTACTTTTTTAAATAAATTATAGCTTCTTAAAAGAAATTAGCATCTAATTCCTCTGGAAAACTTCCCATATTTTCTGACAGTACTCCATAATGACTGGACTTAATTCCTTAAAAGGAATAATGCTCTGACTTTTAGACTACAAAAAAATTCAGAATGCCCACTTTACCCTGTGTATAATACCTGTGAATGTCATCTGGAATCTTTCCATCTAATAAGTAGTGATAGAATCCGGACCTGAATACCACCCTTTGAATAAGCCCACCCACCATCTCAGAGAGACCTAAGTTTCATCTTACTTAGGCTACAAGCATCCTCCAGAGGACACAGCAGCAAGCCACAGCTCACTTTTCCCCACCCCTCCCCTCAAAGAGCCCGCCAAAGCCCTGGCCATAAAAAGCCTCTTGACCTGTTAGAGACTCTCTTTTTCCTTTGTTCTGCTGGCCAGGACAGAGTGGTCCCTCTTAGGTTCAGCAATAAACCGCTTGGACTGTTGAGTTCGCATTCCCTCTCTTCTTTCAAGTAGTAAAACCCAGTCAAAGCCTCATCTAAATACTAGAGGAGATTGTCCATGATTATTTATTTGGTTTATCACCTTTCTCAAATCAGTTTATGATCCACATGCACTACTTTTATTTCGTATCGTCTTACACTAAATGTTGTGTCAGACTTTTACAACTTATTGGATGTCTCTAATAATTCCAATACAAAGAATAGGGCTTTTCCTCCTATACAACCTTCAGTTTTGTAATGGACCCTGCATGTGTCCTCCGTTAAACTCAGCTCATAAATAAGTCAGTTATGCATTCAGCAATATCTGAGCTACCTTCCTTCGGTTCTTTTTAGGCCTACTATGTGTTTTCTGCTTTGTTTTCTGAAAATTCAAACAGCTTGTTTCTGTTTTTTAGATCCTACTTGGGTTTTAATTGGTATAATCAATGAAAGTAACAATTTTCCAAACTTTGATAAGACTGTAGAAGCAAAAGCTTGATTTTAAAATAGCCTGTAACATGCAAAGATGATAAATGGTTTCTGAATTTTTCCCCGCAGGCACAGTGTCCGTTCTCTATTTGATTTTCCTTGTCACCTTAAAGGCTATTCGTTTGGGATTTCATTTGGAATTTCATTGGTATATGCCAACAGAATTTTTTGTACCAGGTGAGCTGTTGTGACCAAATAAAAATTAATAAATTATAATAATATGATATAATAGTTTACTAGTATTAACTATTGCTATTCTAAAATAAAACAAGTAATAGTATTTTTTTGATTAGCATTTTTATTAACATTGTTAAACTAAAAACAGGAATACAGTTGAAATTACTTTGTTTTTCTTGCAGTCAGGGGTGACCAGGGCCCTTTGTCTTTCTTTGCCTTTTGGGAGTTGAAGTTCATTGAAGTTACAGTGCAGTTGAAAAAGTCAAGAGCTTATTCCCTAGAATTTTCTGAGAAAACATACCCCTAGAATTTCAGACACTTAGAACATGGTCAGTGATTAATGTATGTGGATAATACTGCTCATTAACATCGTTGTTCCCCTTACCGGTTTTTTTCTTTAACATTTTTTTTAGGCTAATTAAAATGATGATGATTAAATGTTTTCTCCCTCCTTCTTTTTCCTCATGGTTATAACTGGGCAATTTCTTGAGTCTCACCCAAATTTAGAGGATTTGGGACATAATAAAAGCACCATGAAGCAAATGAATGGATAATCTAAATGAGGGGACAGAAGAGAAAATGGAAGTGACTCTTATACTAGTATCTGAAAACTAATAGGGAGAAAGTAGTTCAAAATTCTGTTGTTAGTTTAGAAAAACTGCTTTCTTTCCATTCTTCAACTGTTGAATCAGGAGTCTAGAATTTTAAGTCTCTATTCTGTATCTGGTGTCACTCACTGAAGTCTGCAGTTATAGTTGTCTACCAATCCGTTTGTTTCTTTTGTTACTGTATCCTGGGCTTTCCAGGTTTACTGAGTTGGTGGTCAGTGGACATTGTTACATTACCACAGTTACGTGTTTTCAGATGATCTGGCTGCATTAGCTTTGATTTTTTTTATTTCTGTTAGCAGCCCAAAAAGACTAAAAGTCAGTGTAAATTTAAGATAAAGAAAGTACTGGGACTTGAAGGCATCCTTGTTTCCCAGATTGTATTTAAAATTGGTCACTGATGAAAATGACATCTTTAAGCTAGTTCTTTCACTGAATGATAAAAATAGGTATTGTTTTCTAAAATTAGGTCCATATTGATTTATATCAAGATTCTTGGTGATAAAAGTTTCTGCTCATCATGTACATGAGATAAATATGAGGGAAAGTGAAAGTATAAATATTTAGAAGATAGAAAAGGGACCATATTGATATAGATATTAACCTAAGCTATCTAATCATATCTAAATAATATGAAGGGCAAATCATGGGGACTAAAAAAAGCTTGTGTTAATATTTATGGTCCTGAAATTAATTACTTTATTTTGATTGAAGAATTTGTCAAGAATAAAAATATGTATAAATCTGTTTAGTAAAGGCTAATTAAGAATCAGAGAACTTTGGAGGGTATGTTCCTCACTGATGAAGAACTCACATAAACTTGTAGTTTGTTTATGTAGTTCTGATTAAATTTTTGTTTCTAAAAATTTCTTTTTCAGTGCAGTAGACCCCATCACTATTCTTCCCAGGTAATTGGAAAAATAATGAGAAAAAAAACCTATTCATGTATTTCACCCTATCCTTTCCTTCCTACACAAGGACTTTACTTTTGCAGTTATTTCTTTTTTTTATATGCAACATCACATTTTTCTTTTACTGAACTAGTCCTACCTGTGTAAAAGCCTATCTCCCATCTAAATACAAAAATTAATGTGACCCCAATTCCTCTGTAGCTATTGCTTCCCTTTAAAGAAAAAATCTTTGTAAAAGTTGTCTGTGCTCATTGTCTCTACTTCCTCCATTTTGCCATGAACCCACTTCCGCTAGGCTTTAGCCCCAGTCACTCCACTAATAATTAAATGACTCTTACTTTTTGACCAGTTCTCACATCTCTTTTTACTTAACCTGTCAGCATGATGGGGCACATTTGGTTACTCCTTCCATCTTAAAACACGTAACTTCTAAAACCCTATTCTCTCTTGAATCTTCAACATAGCTGTTCCTTCTCATATTTCTGACCTTTAAGTGTTGGAGTTATCTCTCCATCATTGAGGAGTTTAGTACTCAAACCTCTTCTGTCTCTACCTCTGGTCCCTAAGTGATGCCATCTAGTCACCTGGCTTTATGTATTGTCTATGTGGTGATTAGTCCCAGTTTCATATCCCTAGCCCAGATCTCTTCACTGAAATCCATACTCATGTGTCTACCTGCTCCTTGTACATCTCCACTAGGTATCTCAAACATAAATTTACAAAAATCAAATACAGTTGACCCTTGAACAGCACAAGAGTTAGGGGTGCTGGGCTCCTGTACAGTCAAAAATTCGTGTATAACTTTTAGCTCCCCCAAAATTTTGCTAACAGCCTACTGTTCACCAGAAGCCTTGCTGATAACATAAATAATCAATTAACACATATTTGTATTATATGTGTTTATAATATATATGTATTACATACTGTATTCTTATAATAAAGTTAAGTAGAGAAAAGAAGTTTTTCAGATTGTTGCAAATCTCAAAAAAATTTTCCAATGTATTTATTTAAAATCCACATAAAAGTGGACCCTCACAGTTTAAACCCATGTTGTTCAAGGGTCAACTGTAGCTGTTTCCTTTCTCATCCACCCCCATCCCACCAACTTGTTAACCTGCTCTTCTCCCAGGCTTCTCTATCTCAGAAAATGGTAGCTCCAGTTTTCCACTTGCTCAGTTCAAAAACTTTGGAGTCATACTAGACTGTTCTCTCCACCCCTACCCCAACATTGGCAAAGCATGTCAGCTCTACTTTAAAAATGAATTGAGAATCTGACTGCTTCTTACCATTTCCACCAAAAAGAGCTATGTCAAGCTACTACTCTCTCACCTGGATTATTGTAGTAGCCCCTTAACTAGTTTCACTGTTTTTCACTCTTGTCTCTCCCTCTGTAGCCTGTTCTACACCTAGCAACCTCAGTGACATTTTTAAAACACAATCTTCAAAAGCCTCTAATGGTTTCCCATCTCATTCAGAATAAAGCAGGCTTTGATCAAAGTCCACAGGCCCTGGCTTCCTCTCTGATTTCATCCCCTACCACTTTGCTGTTCCACAAGAACACAAAGCACCTCCTAGCTCTGAATCTTTTGTACTTACTATTCCCTGTACATGAAATGCTCTTGTCTTTTCCCAGTTATCTACATGGTTAGTATCTAGAGAGGTTTTCCCAAGCTTCCTGTCTACTCCATTTCCTCCTTTGCCTTACTTCTCTTTAGAGTTCTCACCACCACCAAATCTTTTCTCTAGTTATTGAAATCTATTAAGTTCCTGATTCTGATAATGAGTTGGAATATTAGGGATACCTATTCTAACCTACTTAGTTCCTGAGTTTCAGATAGAAGGTAGCAGAAGTCAAAATAACAAGGGATTTTGTTAAAAAATGTTTCCAAATCTACTTGGTTCTTGCATTCAGACAGTGAAAGTTCAGATGGTAAGGAATACCTGTATTCATCTTTTTACCTGTATATCTGTCTCCCTTAACAGAATATTAGCTCTCTGCGAAAAGGGATGTTCTTTGGTTTTCCTTTTTATACTTCTCTATCACTATTGTATTCGCAAAGCCTGTACTTCCTTGCACATAGTGAGTGCTCAATAAACAATTGTTGAATGAATGTGTTTGCCTCTACTCCCTCCTAAATCCCATTAAAACAATAGTAGAGAAATAAAGTTAAAAATCAAACACAGAGAGACACTACAGAAGATATAATAGCAAACAAAAGATAGCCACAGCTTTTTAGAAGCTGGAAATCTGATGGTTGATAACTGACAACAAAGCAGAGAAAGCTGAAATGTAAGTATCTGTTGAGAGGGAATCCACCACAAAGGAAGCCAGTTTGAGCTTCAGAATTCTTAGAACCCTCAGCATTTGGAGGCATTTGGGTAAGTCTGAAAGCAAGGGTAAGGGTAAGGGCTTAAAATGGAAGAATTCCCTGGAAGTTTATATCAGGAAAAGTTAGATATAATGCCCCTTTCCCTCTTGAACCTAGCAAGAGACAAACTGAATGAGACAGGCTCTGAATTTAGTTTGTCAGGCCTGTACAATAAAGCGTAGGAATAAGGTTCCAGTATGAAAATGAGGATTAAGTGAAAGTATATGTGCTACATGATAAGACTATATGCTCCCGTCCTATACCCCTCTAATTCTCTCTTCTTTACTCCTCGGCTCCCCAAATGCTGCCAGCATAGGATAATGGAGGATTCTCCCCTGGAGAAACTGACAAGCCCAAAAGGAAAGACCTAAATTCTCAGATATTTGGCTTTTGCCAAAGAAAAGGCAGACACCTTCCTTGTATCGGACCATTTAGATGTCTACTACATTAACATTTTTTTAGTACTTCACTTCTAAATACAAACAAAGATCACTAGCTATTCGTGGACAGTCTCTTACATGAAAATGAAACAGGGAAGGATAAGAAGGAACTTGAAGAGAAAGGAGACTGAGGAAACGAAAGAAAACTTCTAACAAATAATATCCTCAAAGTGGCAAAAGACAGTGCTATATCCATGAAACAGTTTTTGGGTGCCAAAGAAGAAGGAGGGAGTTTAGTTTGGGAAGTCAAAAATATAATAGAAATTAAGAATTCAAAGAAAATTTGGAAGATAAAGCTAACTTCCCAAAAAGTATATTAGAAATCATGGATGGATGGATGGATGGATGGATGGATGGATGAATGAACAGATGGATGGAAAGAAAGAAGCAAGGGAAGGAAAGAGGGACTGGAGGGAGGGAGGGATCTAGGGAGGGAGAAAGGAAGGAAAAATAGGAGAGAGAAGAAAATCAGAGAATTAATACAGGTAGCCTAATATCCAATGAAAAATAGTTCAGTAGAGAAGAGAAAAAAAGATGAAATTATCAAAGAAAAAATTTAAGAACTTTCCTCAGAACTGAAGAAGATAAGTTTCTATCTTGATATCTAGATGTAAAAGGGCCCAAAGTGCCCGGCACCATGAACAAGACCCACAGCAAAGCATCTCAGAAAAT